AAAGCAAACAGACTTTCATAGGGTTCCGATGTCTGCAGCCTTCACAGAATCTGCCGAAGCCAGGGTCAAGTTCAACGTCAGGGCAGCGTGGGCCTGGGCCACCCTGCAGTACACGCAGCCAGGATTTCAGCGTGTGGTGTTCTCGGCAGTGACCTCATGGACATAAATAACGTCCGGCAGCCTTTGAGGCTGGACTTCAAGAATGCCGATGGGTTCAGTTGCAAGAAAACACGTTGGCCACAAATTTCTCTTGTCCCTTTAGTGGGAACCCTGCAAGCTGACCCCACGGCTGTCAAAGGGGGAGAGAGATGGGGGAAAGAAAGAGAGAGGGGGAGAGAGGACAGAGAGGAGGGGAGAGGGAGACAGAGCAAGAGGGAGGGGGAGGAAGAGAGGAAGGAGGGAGAGAAACTCCGAGCCTCCTGCCTCAAGGCCTTCCCTCCTCCCTGCCATCTCTTGTCCTGCAGTGCCAGTCTAGGGGTCTCTGAGCCCCTGGCGTGAAAGGACCTGGGAGGCTGTCCCGTGGGTCAAAGTGTCAAAGCCTTTCTTGACCCCCCAGCTCTCTCTTCAAGGCATCTAGGAGGCATCTTGGGGACCCAGCCCTCTGCCTTTCCAAAGGAGCCAGCGCTGGGGTCCCCGTCTGGGGCTTCCTCTGGGGTAGTGAGGAGTGGACCAGGGGCCTGTGTGGACACTGGGGACCTTGCATGGGGGACACTTCTGCTGGCTCATGGGGAAAAGGCCCCCATCCATACTCCTCACACCGCAAAGTATGGTCCAGGACCAGCGCCTCGAGTGCCCCGGGGGCTAAGTCCCCCCAGGGCTGCTGAATCAGAGCCTGCATTGTGACAAGACCCCCAGGGATTCCTGTGCACATCCGGGCCCTGCAGTGAGGCAGGCCAGGCCGCAGTTAGACTCATAATTCCCCCAGAGCATCTGCCTCGTCCCCCAGCTACGGCCCCCCACCTTGTGCTGGTACCTCTGGGCTCCGGCCTGCCCCATCCAAGCCACCCCACTCCGGGACCCACCACTCCAGGGTGGCATTTCAGCTACTGCAGCGGGTCCAACTGTGTCCCCTAAAAAGACATGTTCAAGTCCTAACCCCTGGTGCCTGTGCATGTGACAGGGTCTTTGCAAGTATAACCGCAGTAAGATAAAGTCGTATGGGATTAGGGTGGCCCTGAACAGAGTGACTGGTGTCCTTATAAGAGAAGAGGACGCAACAGGAGAGAGGACAGCATGAAGATGGAGAAGGAGACTGGAGCGATGTGGCCACAAGCTAAGGAACAGCTGGAGCCACGAGAAGCTGGAAGACACAGGAGGGAAGGGAGTGTGGCCCTGATGACATCTTGATTTTGGACTTCTGACTTCTAAAACTGTGAGAATAAATTTGTGTTGTTTTGGCTGGGCGCAGTGGCTCATGCCTGTAATTCTAGCACTTTGGGAGGCTAAGGCAGGAAGATCATTTGAGGCCAGGAGTTTGAGACCGGCCTGGGCGACACAGTGAGACCCCATCTCTACCAAAAATGAAAAAATTAGCCAGGTATGGTGGTATACACCTGCAGTCCCACGTACTAAGGAGGCTGAGGTGGGAGGATCACTTGAACCCAGGAGTTGGAGGCTGCAGCGAGCTATGATGAGGCCACTGCACTCCAGCATGGGTGACAGAGCAAGATCCTATCTCTAAACAAACCAAAATTAACCAACTAACTAAATAAATAAATAAATTTGTGTCGTTTTAAACCACTCGGTTTGTTAGCCTTTGTTACCACAGCCTCGGGAGACTAACACAGCTATCTGGTTCCTAAGAACTGGCCCCGACGTGCGCTCAGTCAGGTCCGCTTTCAGGGCACCATCTGCCTGCCACCCATCATCACAGACGTCTCGAGACAAACCTCCTGCCTCAGCGAGGATGGCCAGCGCAGAGGGGCTCCCGTCGGGGAGGCTCACAGCCCCCCTGCCCAGGAGCAACACAGCGTCACCCACCCACCGGCGCCCCGTGGGGAACAGAGGCTGGGACCCATCTGCGTGGCTGGCGACCTCCGCGAGGCTGCCTGGTCCCCTGCAGAAGGCGGGGCCTGCAGGCAGTCCGAGGCCCTGGCTCCCACTGGGAGAACGTGCTTATCCAACCCACGCTCTCCCTCCAGCCTTCCTTTTTCCTTTGCCCCATCCAGCCTGTAGAGCAGGGATTCTCAACTGGGAGCAGTTTGGGCCCCCAGGGACATTTGGCAATGTCTGGGGACATTCTTGGTTTTCAAGACTTGGGGCGGGGTGTCACTGGCCAGGTGGCGCCAGGGATGCTGTTAAATACCAAATGCTGACAGCGCTGAGGTTGAGAAACCCTGCTTTAAAGCAGCGAGTCTTATTAATTCGGGGGGAGGTTAACGAGTGTTTGAGTATCTGATAGATTCCATGGATTTTTCTTCCCAGGAAAGTGCACGTAAGCCCTGAATTTTGCTTTGAATTGGGTAGGATTGTGCAACTGTGTTTTCTTAGAGGCCATCTTATGCCCTTCGCTTCTTGTAATCTGAGCACAGCCCCGGGAAAGATTCATTAACAAGAGCGTCTCTTCCCCCTGAAATAAATACCACAGCAGCTCTGCCTGCTAATCGCGCCGGCAGGGCCCTGCGCACACCTCACGCGCCGCGTGTGTCCAAACAGCCTGTTAATAGATTCTGGCTCTGCTTGTCCCTGGGAGAGCAACAGGCTGCCCAAACGATGGCTCCTTCCAGCAACCTCGGGGGCCGTTCATCTCTGATGAGAGCTCTGGGGTTTCCAGCAGGCCCTCGTGAAACAGTTTACGATTTGAGAGGCTCCAGCAGGGAGGTGGAAACATCTCGACTTCAGCCACTTTGAAAGCTTGAACCGACTCGCCTACACCACAGTCATGTTTTCATTTTTAAAATGGCCAAATTAACTGCTTAAAAGCCTCTTTTAGCTCTCAAGCTAAATCATCAGTGAAATTTTGAGGTCATCCACTGGAATGACCTTTTCTGTGACAGTAACAAACGTCCTCAAGTTTGCTTTTTATTTCAAAGTCTCAACAGAGAACATAAATTTTTTTAAAAAGATATTTATGACAGCACTCAATTAGACTTGGGAAGGTTCTTTTCTCCTTGGGCACTGCTATTCCTACTTCGGTACGAACAACAATGCGTGATATTAATATAACATCAACCAGTTAGAATTTGCCACATGCCACACGACTCTGAATTAAGCACTTGGCAAGGGTGACTTCTGATAACCCAGTGATGTAAATACTATTGTCAACTCCATTTGACAGACAGGGAAACTGAGGCCTGGCAGTTCAATAAGGATAGGGAGGAGGTATGGGGTCTGGCCTGGGTCAGTTGGAATCACCAGACGTCAGAGATTCCCGTCGAGCATGAGATTTGAAGGTTGCAGTCGGCAGAAAATGACACTGAGAGAGTGTAAATCCCCCAGGGCACAGACGAGGCACGCCACGCCCCAGACGCAAAATCACAGCTCTCCCCTCAGCTCCCAGGGAGAGGCCTCGGCCGCCGAGCCTCTCCTGCCTCTGACGGAGCTGGTGGTTCCTCCACTTATGAAACGCCAGGCGACATACACTCTACACAGTAGCAGTATTGTTCACGGGCCGTAGGGCTGGCCGGGCAGAACAATGGGAAAGCCAGCGAGAATCAGCCACCCGTCTCTCCCTGTGACACCTGCCGAGGTCTAAGACCACGTGAGACAGAAAACTCTGGCAGGCCAGCAGATACCTGTTTTCTAGCTGCTGCCCTCGAAGGCCACGGAAACCCTTGGAGTCCTTGTTAGGACCAAACTATCACTTCCAGATTATCGGAACTTGTTAAGTCCCCTCCCACGCCCTCGAAGCTCCCGCGGGAGCCCTCCCTGCGGTGGGACTCACCGTCTCCTGCCCGGAAGCCAAGCCCCCAGAAGAACAGTGGAGGCCAGAGAGATGCTCCGTACTGGACGAGAAAGAGGCCCTGGGAGCATTCTGGTTGTTTCCAGGGGCAGTAATATCTACTTGGCATAAAACAGAGTTTACACCCTGGGTTCCCTAATGAACTCGCTTTTTGGTCTAAATTCTCAGAAGGCATCCTTATCACAAAAGCATTCACTACGCAAGGACGCAGTGGTCCTGTGGACGAAATATCACACGACGCCAACTTTTAACTTCAACATTCACAGTTGACTCGATGGCTTCCTAAGTTAACCTGCTGACTACATTTTGCTTTTCACGTGTTTTTGAGACGTTTGCCGATTCTCAACTAACCTGCACAGTAGCTCTCTAGGCGAGGGGCCTTTCCATCAATGTTCACGTAAGGAACAGCACTTGTGCACAGAGAGGTTAAGATGTTGGCTGGGGGGCGCACAGCAATCAGCTGAGTGGTGGGGAGAAGCACCGCTATGCCGGGCTGCGAAAATCCCTCCCTGCTCACGGCTGCACCCTCAGCCACTGCGGCGGCCAGGCACGGGAAGAGGGTCAACCTTTCGTTCTCTTCAGAAATCTTTCTTTTAGAAAGATTGTTAGGCTTTGCTAGGGAGAGGAGCTCCAGAAAACAGTGCTAAGAGTCATGGGCTTCAGAGCACCAGGGACCCCCCCAGGGGTCAGCCGAACCTATCTCCTCGTTTCACAATTGAGAAACTGAGGCCCGAGCAGGGCTGAGGCCATCCAGGAAGAGAGACCCCCAGGAGAGCTTCGTCCTCCCTGTGGGTGAGCAACTCTTCCTGGGAGAGGAAGTGACCAGAGCAGGAAGTGCCCTGACCTGCAGGTCGTTGCTGTGACGGCCAGCCCCTCTCCCAGGGCAGATGTGACCCCAAGGGGTGGCCTGGGACCTCCCAAAGCTGCTCAAAAACGATTTCTACCCCACCTGCACGACAAGGACAGTGTTCTCAGCTGGCCCTTCTCTAAGAACAGCTTAAATCCAGAGCAAGATCCCCCGCCCCCGCGCTGCCTTCCGAAAGCGGAAGCGCCTCCCGCCCAGACCACCCTGCCGAGCCCACGGCAGCGGGATAGTTACGTCCTCGTCCCGCTCCAGCTCCAGGCCGGCCTCCAGGAGGTTGCCCTCGTACTCGTCCCTGCGGAACTGCTTGTCATCCTCGTGGTAGTCCATCGGGGGCTCTGCTTCCGACGGCCTGCCCTTCCCAGGCAGGGGGTGGTCCTGCTTGACGCTGCGTGCCCCTGGGGCGGCATCGCTGTGCTGGACCCTCCTGGCCAGCGTCCTGCTGCCCGAGGCCCTCTTGTGATGGTACACCAGGATGTAATCCACCTTGCGCTTGCCGTCCCTGAAGTACAGGCCATACTTGCACTCGGCATCCGGGTCCACGGACAGGGAGTTCAGCAGCTGAGGGCGGAAGAAGAGGGAGACGCACTCACTGTCCAGCTGGCAGTGACTGGCCTTCGGAGCGAGCGCTCGTCAAACTGATGGACTTCACTCATTCGCTCGCTCCCTCGTTTGCTCACTCACCCGCGGATACTCACTGATGCCAGCCACGCGCCCACTGTCCCAGGGGCTGAGACTCAACTGTGAACACAGTGGACGGGGCCTGCCTTGGGGGAGCCGACACTCTAGAGGGACACATTTGCTGCTGATCTCCCACACCGGTCACCCAGAGGGCTCCTGGTCTGCAGAGCCAGGCAGGCCGGACTGCAGGGACCTGCCTGGCTGCTAGAGAAAAGCTCTTGTAGAAGCTGCCAAGCGAAACCCCGTAGGAAGGGCTCTCGGGCAGGGTCTTGGGCAGAGCAGAGCCAAGCTTAGGTTCTGCCCTGCAAACCCCAACCCGAGGGCCAGCGCCCAAGGCAGTGTCATGTCAAGGTGGCCGCAGGGCCACTAACTAGCTGTGTGGTCAGAAGTGAGGCATTCACTGTCTTAGTCTGGGTTCTCCCAAAACAGACCCTGAGGGAAGGCTTGGGCTCGAGTATTTTACCTGGAGTTGCACACAAGGTGCCAGGTAGGGCGAGAGGGACGGGGGCTGAGAGAGGTGGGTTAACAAGTGGTCACAGCGGTCCCTCCCTGGCTGGGGGTCACTCCTGGGGCATTAACTCCCCCACACGTCCCCCGCTCTGCGTGTGCTGCCTGTGTGGGAGGACGCTTTTGGGTGCAGAGGACAGGGAGCCACTGGCATGGACAAGTGGGCGCCCTGGGGTGACCGAGGCTTGGGAGGGAGGGCTCCAATGGGGTCTGCCCCATCTCAGATTCCTTACTTGCCCAAAGGACTCTGGGAGGCCAAATGAGGTACAGAGCGGCTGGTTCAAAATGCCAGATATTCACACGATTGCCTGTGGCATGGCTGCTGCTAATGCCGAACCTGAGTTTCTAGAACTCCTGTGGAATGTTGCCGGTTGTGGAGAGCAGACAGGTCAAGCAGCATACCAGGCTCCAGAAATAAGAAAAAATAGATAAAACCGGGCTGCAGCTCCAGACCCGTGGCCGTCCTGAGGCTGAGCCTCTGCCTGGACCTGGCCACCTGGTCTCCACCTCGGTTCCTGTGGCTGTGCACGGCTGACCCCCCTCCCGAGGGCCCCACCCAGCTCCCGAGGGCGTCCTCCAAGAGCACGGTCCTCCCTGATGGCGCGCAAGGCTGGCGTACAGCTACACGCAGGGCCCCAAACACCCCTGGCTGGCGGAGAGAGCTGCGCTTGGGCCTCGCTGGCCTGGAAAGTCTGTCCACATGGCCCCTGGAACCGCAGCGCGGCTTCAGGCTGCACCAGGCCACTAAAGCACTGGCCATTTGGTCAGGAGAAGCAGCAGGAAGAACCCCTCACTTGAGGGGTGTCAGGCCGTGTACAACCGAAAGTACATCGAGGAAGCTGGAGGGCTGAGGACCCCCGAACCAAACACTCAGCATTAAGGGTGGGGGGACAGGGAGGCTGTGACTACAACGTGCAGGGACCAGCCCCATCCTGGCGATCCCCAGGAGGACCTGGATGTTGCGTGGATGCCCTGCCCAGGTTGCTCGCTGCGACTTAAGTCTGCAGGGGGCTTTTGGGCCAGGCCCACACCTGTGGGGGGCGGGCAGCCTAGGGAGGGCTCAGGGGGCCGGGTGGGGGGAGCACTGGCTCCTGGGGGCAGCACGGTTGCACACGCAGCCTAGCAGCAGATGGGCCATGGGACACCCCACGGCCTTCCCCATCTCAGGTCTGCAGCCAACGCTGCTCCTGCATTCCTTTAGCGGGCAAAGCACGAAAAAGCTGTTCTCAATTTGCCAGTGGGGGGAACTGAGGCTCACTTGGGTGAGCTGCCCGATTTGCAGCCCTGGGTGCCCAATTCCCGCAGGCTGCCCCCGGCCAGGGCTCTGCCTGTGGTGCTGGAGGACACGGGAAGGGTGCAGCCCTTTAGCAGCCTCAGCGCTGTTCCTGCTGCTCCCGGGGCCAGCTGGGGTGGTGGTTAAGTGGGGCTGGTAGGGCGGCAGGTTAGCGCAGGCCAGTGGGGCAGTTCGGGCAATGGGACAGCTGGTGCAGCAGGTGGGGCTGGCACAGAGCAGGGCAGGAGCTTTGCGGCAGGCCCTGCAGTTGGCCAGACCTGGGTCTGTGTCTGGCTTGGCCTCTCTCC